TACCACAATGTCCTGAGAAAAGAGGTATTTCAGGACTATAGCAAAGCCTACACGTGCTCAGCTCCAATCTGCAGGTGCACGCTCTGAAAACAGCAACCACCAGCTCAATCTCTCCTTTCCCACTGGGCAAACAACCTCTTCCTGAGGAGTTCACATTAAAATATATCTTCAGGATTTTCAGGGATGGAAAAAATATATGACATAAATCTGTCCTCTACTATTCTATTACTTGCTAAAATTAATTGCCTTTATATACTTACACAATTTCTCCAACCAAATATCATACTTTACACTTACTCTCATTTCACATTAACTTTACTAGAGGTTGAGAAAAACAAGTATTTGGTGATGATTCCTCACCCTAGCTGCACAAAATTCCTGGTGTGAAATTGATTTGATTCTAAATTAGTATTGTCATTATTTTCTTTTTTCACCAACTTTCTCAAGACACACAGGATTTTTTTTTCTCCAAGTTGGGCTCTGACAGAAAAATCAAGCTAAATTTTAAATAAGAGGAAACCAGAAACGTCATAAAATGTGCCACTGCTAGGCACATAAAAGGGTTGCCACCCTACCTTCACAGGCTTGCACAACAAGCCTGAAAACCTTGGCTCACCCATGAAGTCACTGGGAGCCAGCCGGCTTGCATTTGCAAACACTGCCTCCTTCCCACCCCCACCCCTGAGCAAAAGGTAAACACACAAATGCCCCCCTAAGGAACTCTAAGTTAGCTGCAGTGCAGAACGGAAAAGGCTCTGTGCAATTAGAAACTGAAAGCAATCACTTACTTTTTGCAGCCACTGAGTATAATTTTCCATCACATGCTCCAGATGTTGAAGTTTCTGGGAAGAGAAATCCGGTTCCACGTGTGGAGCATCTCTCTGCAGAGCGTTTGTGCTGTACTGGTCTGTCGTACTCTCACGACAGTTCCCGTCGTGTTCTGGAAGAATGAAAGTGTAGGCACACTGCCCATGTTGAATCCGGTTATATCTTCTCCCACCGTTTTCTGGACTTCGCCGCTGGTTGCTGCACCCTATGTGAGTCAGAATGGCAGCGAGGAAAGCAAAGGAAAGGAAAACTGTCATTGTACTGCCAGCTCTCTCCTTCTGTGCCTCTCGCAAAAACTTGCTCCTTTCTTCTGACCTTTAAACTAGTCTTTATTTTAGGTAAAACTGCTTGTTTGTTTGACTTTATCCCCCTCAGAGAAAACTTTTGAAAAAGAATCACAGAAAACTAGCCATTTGTTAGCTTTGTTCTAAAATGTTAGTTTTTTTTTTTATTTCACTATAATGGTAGTTTCCTTGAGATATTTATTGCATAGTAGCTGAGATTTATTGTTTCCTCTCTGTGTGACCGTTCAGCGTGGAGCCTGCCTGAGTCAGCTGCGTGTACATATTCTAGACCCTTTCCCCTACCCTATCTGCAGCAGATCTGCTATTTTCTCCCAGACCTCAGTGAGTTTTATTAAGGTTGCACATCCAAGCCGAGCTGGAAGCAGGCAGCCTTTCACAAGATGACTTGACAGGAATGCATGAGTGTGCCCCTATGCTAAGGGTGGCTGATGGCTTGGAGCAGCGGATCGTCTTACAAATTGGCTAGATGCGCACGACCTCGATCATGTACAGCCCTCCCGCCCCCTTCCGCAGACAATTGCCTCCAGCCTTTAGAAGATCCCGGGCAAATCAATAAATAGAGCAGTCCACCTTAATACACTTTTGCTGTGCATGCTGACCTACTAAAACCTAGCAAACTAGCACTAGGTTTTTAAAGTTAGTATGTAATCGGGGAACTCTAAGAAGAAACATTAGCATAATGTCCAGTAAAATAATTTTTGATAATGATGTCTGTATAAATATTTTAAAAAATTATCCTTGACTCTGGGAAAAAGAATTTAAAAACATTTTTAGAGATGGTATTCTCTCCTTGTATTCACTCAGACTTTTAGGAGTTGGAGACAATTATCAGGGAGGGTCAAATAATCAAAACAAATTTTCATAACTTGTCACTCAAAGGAATGTAGATAGCATGTGCATATTAAGCAGAATAATCTAAGTATTTAGATTTCTGAGATAAGAATTTTAAATGAAACTATACCCCTGATCAGAACGCAGCCCTGTGTGTTCTGTGTATACAAATTGAGCAACTTTCTTACAAAAACAGTGTGGTTACAATTTAAAACAGTGGCCAGAGAATTATTAATTCCTGTGGTACGTCCTAAGCACAGATTTCACAAGGACCTCTTTGGTGTTGCTATGGCTATCTTTAACACTGGTATGGAAGTTTGCCATAAAGTCTCCTGTGACTACACAGAAAAACTATCTGAGAATAAACATATATCAGGTGTGTCAATGGGCCAGCAAAGGGCTGTCTGGGAGAAATCTGTTTCCATTAAGAAACAAAAATTATCAGAAGGTAATTTCCCAAATATAGGGTGTAAACATTTGAACAAAAGGATCAGTAAAACATAAAGAACAGGGTATAATTAAAGAATTAAGGTTATGGCACTGAAATCTTTACTAAGTATGTGCAGAAAACAGGAATTACGAGCAGGGGTTTTCATCAAGAACTGGGAGGGATTTTCAGGAATGGAGCTTCTCAACGGCTGTCATGGTATAAAAACAGAAGCCACAGATGTTGACTCTTGTGTCCTCAAGGTACAGGTCAGTGGGTAAAGGGCAATAAGATTAGAGATTGGTGTGTAGGGAAAAGTTAGAGGAGAGGGCAAGACAAATTCCAGGGAAAAAATGTGATTTACTTAGGAGAAAAATATCGTGCCCAGATTTATCAGTCTTTCTCATAGCAAATAACAAATTTCTGATCTGACAGAAATGGAAGCAAATAATACCAAATATAGCAATAAAGCCCTTGAACTGCCTTTGCAGCTTCCTCCTTCTGTTGCATGTCTCTTTGTTGGCTGATATGTCACTCATGTGCACTAATAATAATGACATTTATTAAGAGCTTAATATTTTCCAGGTTGGTATTAAGCACTCCTTACATACGATCTCATTTAATTATCCCAATGAATCTGAAACATGGATATTATGTTTAATCCCATTTTACTGATGGGAAACCTAAGTCATAGCAAACCTAATTGGTCACAGCTCACATAGCCAGCCAGGGATGGTGCCAGTATGTCAAATCTAGTGAACTGATTCCAAGCCAGCCAAAAGGCTTCCAAAGGGCTCCAGCTGCACTGATTCACAGCCCTAAAGCAGACTAAGTGATGGTACTGAGAAGTAAAACAACTGATTAAAAACCAGTTTATAGCACCAAAGTGATTTAATCCTTCTTCTGTACCCAAAAAAAAAAAAAAACAAGAGTGACGGGTAACCTGTGCAGTAGAGTTTTTAAGGGCCCACAAGGACAAAGTAAACTGGCAGATAGTCTAAAATCATTTTCCAACATTGATGCTTTGAAAATTATTCCTGGAAAAAAGAGAATCCAAAACCAACACCTTAAGTGATTCATTAAGAACTAAATACAGCTGAAAATCAGCAGAAGGTACAAGAGTGAGTGGTGAGGCTTCTATTAAAGTGTTCCTGTGTTTTTTAATAGCCAAGACTTAAAATTCTGTTTCTCTATGTAGAGTGTGTGTGTGTGTGTGTGTGTGTGTGTGTGTGTGTGTGTGTAAGTTTCTGTGAATCTACACATGCTTGTTCATATACCTTTTTCCAGTCTGAAGAAATGTAATGAAGGAATGCACAATTTCCTGAGGGAAGAGTAGACAACTAGGAAAGGGAGGCTTGAAAAGCAAGTACTTAAAAGGAGGGAGGAGACAGAGAGACAAAGAAATTGATTTCTTTCCTTTCCAGAAAAAGAAAGAAAGAGAGAGAGAGAGAGAGAGAGAGAAAGAAAGAAAGAAAGAAAGAAAGAAAGAAAGAAAGAAAGAAAGAAAGAAAGAAAAAGAAAGAACAGACAGGACACTGCAAGTAGTAATGTCAATCTGGGGGCGGGGGAAGGTCTCAAGATAATTTTAATCAGCTGGAAAACACAGGGACATGTACAATGAACTCACGTTTGGGGACTTCAGTTGAGGAACATTGGGTGCATTTGAGGATCCTTATGAGATGCTAAGGACAATATTCTTCCAAGGACGTGAACCTAACCAACAGCAATACTGTGGGTCACTGTTGCTGACTATTCAGCCATTTAGGAGACTTCAGAATTTAAGAAGTAATATGAAAAACAACCCATATTAAAAAAAAATTCCTCTGCCATACCTCCAAAAAGGTTTAAAAAATTATTTAGTTCTTTAGAACTAAATAATTGTATTCAGTTGAATACTGAGGTAGCTTGATCTTAAAAGCTTTGTATCCTTGCATTTTATTTGCATTATTAGAGCTCTAGAATAAGGTTTATGCTTTAAATTTCTGATCTCTTATCTGTAATAGTCCTAGTAAACATTAGCCTCATCCAGAAATTTCCAGTGGGGCAGGGAACACCATTTACATGGAAACTTGATAGCCCTAAATCTGTCCTAACAACTAGTCACCGTTACTTCCTTCAGGAACCTTTCTTAATTTCTCCAGGCTCAATAAGTGATTCTGATGTGTTTCAATAACCTTTTTTCATATCTCCATAATGGCACTTTTTACACAGCTTTTTAATTATGTCTTTTTTGGCTTATTCCCCTCTCTAGCTGTGAGCTCATAAAGTAATCTCTTTCATCACTGATTTCCCAGCACTTACTGTGCACTTCGGTTGAAGGAATGAAAGAACAAATGAATGAGTGAATGAGCTTATTCAATTACTTCTGTTGCATTTTGAAGGTGCAGGGTGAGTCTGCCTAGAATTGGGATGAAGCCAAACTTGCTCTAAAGAATGAGTTAGATATAATAACATGGCACAATAATAATGCATAACATTTTTTAATCCATAACAAATTAATTTCCTCATTTAACAATTACAGCACCCCCGTAATTATGTATTATTATTTCCATCTTGCAGATGAGAAAGACTGTGGCACATAGAGGTTAATTACCCAAGATCTATGAGCTATAATGCCTTCAACCATACTCAGGATTAGGAAACAGGGAAGAAAGCATTTCTTAAATTTAGGGGACAGGAACAACATGGCATTTATAACTGAGATGAGTCTCCTCCTCCTCCTAACCATGGCCATCATGGATTCATGTTATAATCTTCCAAAACAGAGCTAATATTAAGCAAAGATGCACCAGTATGGTTGTCCCATCCACTAACAAGCATCCAATCTGATTGTTCAGATTATACTTAGGATCAATTCTGAATGGTTTGACCTGTGCTATATCATTTGTTATATATATTACCCTAAAATAACATCCAACAAGATAAAATAGAGTTTATTCCTCAAAAACACCATCGGGCACCTCTCAAGTTTTCATACAGATCCCTATGATGACAAAACAGGTGGGAAAGCATTCTCCTCCCTTGTATACTTAACACAATGTCATTCAGCACATATTCTGTGGATATATTCTTGAAATATATCCTATATTTGAAGGGCACCATATTTTATGACTCTGCTCTGGCACTTTCAGGGTTCAAGAATATCAGCAGGGCTATGGCAGTGGCAGCTATGTCTAAGAGGAAGCACTTGGCTGTAATCCCTGGAGGCAGAGCCAAGACCCCTTCACTCAACTATGTAAGCATCAAAGGTATCCACAACAGATGGAAATACCACAGGGGGCTAAAACAGAAAAACAAGAAGATGGAGAATATCACCTGGTGACTGATGGCACTTCATGAGTACATGTGAAATATCCACTGGTACCTCTCAAACAAATTGGAAAGACTGCAAAGAGATGGAGATACTGCAGTGGATGGGGTGAGGAAGATACTGCGGTGGGTGGAGAAATATAGGTAGGTGAAGAACGTAAAAACTATTATGTAAATATTTCCCTGCCTCTGACAAGAGAAATTTCTGGTTTGGTGGGTGCCTTGCTATCTAAATCAGTTTTTACCTGTAGCTACCTATACGTTGGAAAGAGGTCAGACATGATTAATTTATTCCACATAAGAAAGTAGAGAAGGGACTCAAGGGAAGATCTGGAAATAGAAAACTGGGGGCTAGAGAGGTTTGGAGAAGAGTCAGAAGAAAGAGGAAACCTGTGGCCGTGTGGCTATGAGAAACTTGGGAAGATACATCGAGTACAGAGTTTTACAATAAAATGATGTTTCCCGTGAGATAAAATCCCTCTTTCTCAGTAAAATGAATGGCTTTTGGGCAAGTGACTTCTTTGGCATGAGCGAGAAGAATCATTGGTCCTTGCTCCATATATGGAGCTAATATCTGGGTTAGACTTTTAATGTGAACACAAATAAAACAATTTATTTCATTTTGGTCTTTCACACTAGATTAGAGCCTTCCCAGAGCCTAGACTGTATCTATCCCCTTTTTCTGGCATACAGAATGCAACTAATAAATATTTGTGATCCAGCCGACTGTCTGACTGACTCATAATTCCTGCTGATGAGATCTGAAGACATACGAGCATCACCCTCCCTTGTAGGTTTTCCTGTGTTCATCTTTACTAGGTTCCAAGACCCCACTTTCTGGAGAGTCGCATGAGAGATTCAGGATCCATATATTTCAAAGCAAATTCCAGAAATGAAATCGCAGCAAAAACAGTACCCACCAGTCCCAGTCACCCACAGACTATGGTTGAAACCATTCAAGAAACATTGTAGAAATACCTTCCAGTGTGAGGTTACTTGTTAATTCTACAACAGAGATAACTTCTACAAGTACCCAAGTCATAAAAGAAAACAAACAGCTGGAGACTGTAACAAGTAGAAATACAGATGCCAACATTCCCCTCATACCAGAATGGAGAAAGATTTCCATCGGAGACCCAGTGAGATGAGATTTTATTATGGGAAAAAGCATACAAACCACTTTGTATTTATTAACTGCCTCCTTTCTTCTCTTTTTCCCTATAGAAATCTTGATTCCTAGATGAGAAAAAATGCAAAGGTCTCTCTATCTCAACTTTTACAACTTCAGATAGAACACATATTTTACATCTTCTCAGAAACTCAGAAAGAATATGATTGGAAATGAATGGCTGGAATCACCATGTGATGAATCATGTACCAAATGGCACATGGATGGTAACTAATCCTTGAAGCCAAAGCTGATAAATGACTTCCATTGAACAGTGACTGGAAGATACAAGACTTTCTGTGATTCTGTTATTCTGTCTGTGATTAGAGAGTTGTGACAACCTCTGCTCATCAGAGGTTGGATGAACTGTTCTGTAGTGGTTAAGGTGGGAGGCAAATTGCTTTTTTGTTTTTGCTTATTTCCTGTTTATGCTATTTAACAAAACTGAATCATATTGGATAAGACATTTAATTATTCTAAGCTTAATTTCCTTACCCAGAAAATGAGGATAATAATACAGTATCACTTTTATAAGGGAGATGTGAAGATTAAACATAATAATGGATATAAAGTACTCAACACATGTCTAGAGCATATCAAGTGCTCCTAATGTTGTTACTGTTTCTAAATTTGAATTTTCTTCCTTGTGCTCAAAAATGATCTTTTAAACTTGTTTTGTTGAATGTTATGATTACATTTACCTAACTCCATTCCCTATAATTTCATCTTCTCCATTGTTTTAAATTGCTTCTGAACCTCTTAAAAATCACATTTAAGTGATTCATATGGGACAGTGACCACATTCACAACACATCAACAGCTTTGGTTTCCTTGAGGGCAGGGACTAATGTTTTCTTCCTCACTGCTGCATCATCACCACCTGGAACAGTGAGTGCCTGACACATAACTGGTGTTCAAGAAATATTTGTTGAATGAATGAAACGAGTTGGAAATAATTTAGTAAGACTATACTATTCTACAGAGACATCTAGTAGGGAAGACACACATATAAACCAGTCACTTGGTAGTGTGATGAGAAGTTTATTCCCTGGGAACCATGGGAGCAATGTGGATGCCACTTAAGGCCTCATCACTAAGACTTGTTACCAGATTCATTTCCGGCCAAATCAACTAGATGACCTTATTTTCATGACTTCTTTTATGACTACACTTGTGGCATATATCACTCCATTCTGTTTCCTAGGATAAGGAGATAAAGCAGCAAGTGTTTGCCTCTGATAAAATGAAAAAGAACTGAAAAACTCTACTATTAATCTTATAAGAAATATATAGACTGGCATGACTTGTACATAAGCAAAGGAAATCTTTTTTTCTCTATTTTTTCTTCAATACTAATTTTGCTTCCCCTTGGGCTCTAATCAGATTAGGAATTTGGCAATTAAATTAGAAAATAAATTCTAGTGGTATATAAAACTTGTAAAAATAGAATGGCTTAATCAGCCTCTTCAAACATTATAGGCAAAGGCCCGTCCTTTCAATGTTAACCTTAAATGAAGTACCCATTAAATCTGAATTGTTTTTATTTTCTTTTTCATTGAATATGTGCCTTGATTCTTTCTTCTTTATCCTCCTCTTATAGTTAGCAAAAATCTTGAAAGAGACAGTTGGGGCAAATAAAGAAAGGCTGGATTACCACCAGTAATAACTGAAAAATTGGAAAAGATAGTCATAACCATTTTATTCTCTATAGGTAAGTATTCCTTTTACTTGTGATATATGCAGATGGATCATTTTTAATCCCAGAGGCACAAAACAACCTGAATATTTAGCAAAATGTGTCCCAAATTTGTATCACATTCTCCCTCAGTGTATTTATCAAAAAAGCATACATGCCCTTTGTACTATTATTTACCTAATAGTTTCCTTAACTCAAATTTTAAGTTTTCTGTGTATCCTAGATTTATCTTAAAAAAGAGTATCTGGAAAACCAATCACAGGTGCTTTTTCCTAATGTATATTAAAATAAATACAGAATATTAAAATGAATGTCCACAAACCACCTGCCAAATATTTTATATCCTCAGTGGAGTGTGTGCCACACTTTGGGAGACATTACTTAGAGCTATCAACAATAGGGTACTATTTCTTTGTACAATGAATGAAGTAATACCTCCTGTCAACTGCAGCTACTGCAGTTCCTCAGGATCAGTTTGCATCATGCCCAGAGTGTTTGGGGATTGTTCCCATTTTTCAGCCAAATCTGAAACATGAAAAAGGTTTGGAAACAGAGGCTTCTGTACTTCCACTGCCAGAGAGCACATGAAAGATTTCCCTACATCTCAAGTGGGAAGTCATGGCAAAGGGCTGGCAGCAGCCCTAAATGTGATGCTCTCCACTAACAAAAATGTCCAACTGGAGGCCTGAAATTGAGACTAACGACTGACCAGGAATTTCAACAGCTCTTCTCATGATTCTGTCAAGGGAAAAAATAGTGAGGTTATTTAGTGTCTGAAGAGTAAATCTTCACTCCTTTTTTTGTCTTGTTTTTGGATGAGTGTTGGGGAAATAGTAACAAATTTCTCCTCAAGAGTTGCATTCCCCTTGAAGAATTTACATTCCTTCCTGACATCGCTTAAGGAGCCATAAAAACACATCAGTTTAAAAGAGGGAAAGGAGAGTTAATATTTAAAGGAGCAGTTAAGAATAGTTAATCATAACTAACATTTGAATACCTATGATATGTCCAGGACCGTGCTAATCATTGTACCTGTATTATCTGTTCTGTTAACAATCACAAAAACTCAGTATGTAGAAACTTT